ATGGCGTCGCGGCAGTCGGTCTGAGAATATGAGACAGGCTGTTCCTACGGGGACGCGGCACCGGTCTGCGCGTTATTAAAAAAGGGAACGATGCGTGCGAGCGGGCGGCGCGAGTGCTCGAACAAAAAAAAAAAGAAAAATTAATCCGAAGTTTCGCGAGAAGACAGCGCAAATTTTATTATAGGCGTCCCGACCGTGCGGGACAGGGGCGAAGGGGAAGGGAGCTCGACTCGCGAACGAGCCCCTGAAACGCAATTCCGTCGAGATACACCGGAAGTGGGCTGCAGACGTTCACCGTTCGCCGCTGTCTCGCCCCTGCGACCGGCAATAAAGCCCGCATTATACAGAGCCATCCGGCAACGGCGAACGTAATTACCTTCTTTGATGGCGAAGACGCCGGGAAACGGTCGGAATTGATGTTCAGCGAGTTCCTAAGTGAGCGAGATGCGCGCCGCTAACTTCTTTACTGCAATTTTATTAGCCCCTCTCTATGCTTCCTCCGATGCCGGCGTCCCGCGAGACGGCGTCCTTACCTGTCGCTACAACTTTATGCGGCCTCGTACCCCCGAACAATCAAAGCTGTCCGCTGTTTTTTGCAACTAACCCCGAATTCACGGGTCGAACGGCATTCGGTCGGTTCTTATGGAGATCCGTCGGCTGGCAGCCGCGAACGGCTGCCGCAGAGACAAACGAGTGTTCGAACGAGACTCGACGCTGTATGAATCGACGAGAACGAGAACTGGGCTCGTTTCATTCGCACGATCCTGGTCCGGGTCACACGCTTGTCCAGGCACGTCTCGATCCGTTTGTCCGATCGTGGCGCGGACCAAGCTACTTGCCTATTTGCGCACGTCCGATCGTCGATCGCTCTGATCTGCTTGAAATATGAGCGGCTTGGACTCACGGCGGCGTAACTCGCGTTCTCAAAAATGTTGGCTCGTGTCTTGACCCTTTTATGGGCACTGGGAACTATTGGGTTGGCAACTAAGTAATTGCCGATTTCAGTTATAGATGTCTCTCACTCCCATTTTTATGATATCCATAAATGTTATATTATAAAATTATTGTTATTATTATTATGTTATTTTTTATTATCCGTGAATGTTAGCAACTGGACAAATTGAATGCAGCGGTCAAGGAAAAGCGACCAGAATTGGTCAATCGTAAAGGTGTCATTTTCCAGCAGGACAATGCTAGGCCGCACACGTCTTTGTCCACTCGGCAAAAATTGATGGATATTGGTTGGGAATCGATGTTACACCCACCATATAGCCCTGATCTCGCGCCATCGGATTACCACTTATTTCGATCCCTGGACAACT